CGTCGCACTAGAGCTGCACAATGGGCTATTGGCGACGGTCTGAGAAACAACCCTGAGAAAGATCCGAAGACATGCCATCACTATTTTGATCCTCTGCTGAGGGGAGAGCTCTCCCGCTTCGGTAACCCGACAACCTGCACGCGAAGTCGAGCATTTTACGGTAGAACATTTTAACGAGGATCAATACCACACACCCTCTGTCTCTACTCAGAATAATCAAAGTGGTCATCCACCGTAGCCAGTGATGCTTGACTTCGGTGATCTGCTAAAAATTTCTGTCAATCAAGTCCGGATTAACCATTAAGCATACTAAGCACGTGCGTAGGGCACCAGAGGTAAGGGGGGCACCACGAAGCACCAATGAAAAAAAAAATCTACTAGAAATATTTTTTTACACATTTTAATTCGATTTTTAAGTTCTGACACGGTTTTAACTAATCGGTTTTAACTGAATATTGTGTTATAATTATTCCAATCACGCGGACACGAACGGAAAAGAAAGTTGTGTATTGACGGTATCTCATCACAAAATGACGAATGCTTTTTCCTATATAGTTGATGAATAGCTGAGACCTGAAATACAAAAGTTTTGAAGAAGAAGTTTTGTGTAAACAAGTGTAACAAATTGATTTCCTACACTGACATGTCAAAGTATCCCTTTCATCTCTGAAACATTTTGGGGACCGCTAAATACCCCCTATACTTTTGCTTTTTTTCAGTGAAAAATATTATTTCTCTGTAAACGGATTGAAACTTTTAAATTTTCCTTCTTTGTGGGAACTTCTGTTGCAGAAAAATGGCGAATAAAAGAGAGGTTCCTTGACTGGCCTATTTTTCGAAATTAATTACGTGATTACATCAATTTTCTCATTTTCAACATTCATTTGTTAATTGAATTTTTAAAACTTAAGCAGATTTTAGAGTACGACTTGATCTTGGCTAAGTTTGTGTTTTGTTTTATTTCATATTCGAGGAGCTTAATTTTAAAAATATCAGTCTTTTTTTAGATTTAATAATTCATCGAGGCTATAAAAGGAGAGATTCTTTGAAGACTTCACGACTGAAGTAAAAAGTAACAATTTATTTTTATTAATTTAGTTTTAATTTATGTTTTCCCTTTCCATTTATAGATTATTGAAAATGTTGGTAACAACATAATGGGATTTTTATTTATCATGAGATAAGTCTCTTTAATTAATTGATTTTAAATGGAATATTTCAAATGAAAATTACGTATACTTGTCAATGGAAAAATTTAATTAGATTCAAAACTAATGTGGAAAAAGTAGGCTTATTTTATAATATAATATGAGTTTAATTTATTTTAGACCAAATGAATAATTTGTTTATCACGGGAGTCGGGTGTTCTTCAGATATTATATCAGACATAAAAAAATTCTTTCTCAGAATTATATATTTCAAAAATTTTTTTTTCTCGAGAGTTTCGGTATTCTCATCCCTGAATGGGGGGGGGGGCGAAATCTGGAAAATATTGTCCCAATAATATATACAGGTGTGCGATTAAAGGTTTGGACTCCGTCATGTTAATTTAACTTTTTTCGTATTTCGCCATATCTCTGGAAATTGCTAAGCAAATCAAAAATTTTGCACACAATTATAAAATTCCTTTATCCGAATATAATTTTATGTAAACTAATAATTATTATATTTCATCTACTGAAGGGAAATTGAATTGTAAGGTATTACATTGTTAAGTATGTAATTTTAAGTAACAGAAGACAAAAATTTAAATGAAATTGGCGGAATAATTCTAGAGAAATCAAAATTCAAAAATACTGCTTTTAAAAATTTGTTTACTCAGAAACTATTCGATTTATTTCGTTCAAATTACATACTTTAAAATGGTGTAAAAAATTTCTTACGTTACAACACAAAAATGTTTCGATTACTTTTTGTTAAAATAATTCATTATAAAAATTGTTTTTAAATGAAATTATCTTAAGAATAACGAACTTTATAATTGTATACAAAAATCTTTTGATTCTCTTAAAAATTTCTCGTGATTTAGCGAAATGCGCAAAAGGTAAAATTAAAAGTTCCGAACTTTCGACTGCCTCCTGCCTAACCTATTGCTACCATATTTTTCAGATTGTGGCCAGCTGACTTCCATATTTTGAGTATCAGAATTCCAAATATGTGGAAATGAGATATATTTTTCAAAGAAAGTACGTTTTTGTGTCGGATTTTGTAATTTAATATATCATAAAAACATCGCAGCATTAATTAATTAGCACATTTAAAATGTGACTTTTGAACCCATTAAGATTGAGTTCTAGTGCGTGAAAATCCGATTATTTAATGAAAAGTTACTCAAGGTGTTATTTTGCGCGCACTCTTTTTCAGAAAATATTGTATTCATTTTCAAATTTTTTTCCCTCTTCATATAATAAGGCATGATTTCATCAGTTTTTATAATTAAAAAAATATTGAATTTATTTGTTGTATTCTTTCTTTATTTTTATGATTAAGTTTCCAACTAAAATTCCTTTTAAAAAAGAGTTCAAATTCTACATTATTTTTAAAGTTAAAATATGCAACAAAACAATATTTTGAGTATAATTAAAACCAGTTCAGTATAAACTGAAAAAAGGTTGTTCAAAGTCAGCTAGTTTAACAAGCTGATAATTTGTCCATATTTTAATAACTTTCATTTTAGTAACTTTACATGTTAATAACTTTTTAAATTACTTTGATAGTAATGCTTTCTGAAGTTCTATGCTTCGTTTAAATAAAAAGCATAGGAAACAGATTAAAAAATAGCTGTAATACTGAATAGTGGAGTTCACTGTTAAAATGAAAATTAATAACCTATTTTAGTTAAATATATAAAGCAACCGTATTATATTACTGTATTGGCTTGTGTATTAAAACATTTCTCTTCCTCTTTAAAATTATAATTGAAAAAAATATAACTTCTCAAAATAATATTAGATTATTTATGCACATCAAAGATACTGAAGACTATAAGAAACACTAGTTAATTGATTAAGTTATTTGGTCTGTATCAGTGCGATTCGTTGGTTACAGATGTTCTTTAAACTTAACTGATTTAAAATCTTCGATGAGAGTGAGAAAAGGCAACTTTTCTAATTACATACAGCTAAATTTCCTGTCGTTTGCATATGGTCTGAAATTTATTACAATCATTTTAAAATATTTGCTTTTAAACCTTCACCGCGCTGTGACCAGACCGACAATAAAAATAAATAAAACTGATAGATTTTTCTCTTTCAGCTGCTTCTTAGACTATTTGTGAATTTACAGTAAAATTAGTGTTCAATACAATTTAATATAAAAGCATATTGTGCGTTCTAAAATAATCACACTATATATATTCATAACTCCCCTTCTGTTGTTAATTTTCCCAAACATGAAATCAAATTGAAGTAACGTATAACGGTTTGATTATAAATTAAATCTATTATTAATTCAAAACTTTAAATTGTTTTACATTAAGCATATTAAATGTATAGAATATTTTTGATTGATTGTTATAAATAAAATAATGTAAAATAAAATTTTAAGCACTACGTTTTTTAAAGGAGGGGAAATGAACCTATTTTGTCACAAAAAGCGAAATAATTCCGTTAATAATAATAATAAATGCGGTAGATAATAAGAAATTTTTTGATTCATGGAGAACTGTCGCAGGTTTCTCAACGTTCTAGGAGGTAGAAGAAAAAAAAGTTGTTTGTTATTTTAATTCATTATTAATTCCGTTTATATACTGACTTGAGCTTTGTATGTTTTTGTATTCTCCGTAAAAATTGGATAATGTTCGATAATTTTTTTTACGTGAATATTAACTTGAAACCCACAGTGAAAACATTTTTAACAAAAATTTAAAAAGCATATTCGAAAACATTACATAACGCCCGGACAGTTTTAATAATAAATTTAGTTTATATTTTATAAAATTGAAATGAAAAAGAAAATAACTTGTGGGTCAGGAAATTTTTTTAAAAATGAAATCCCCGGAATGTCGAAATTATTTTAATTTTGCTCTGAAATTGAATAATACCTGATTAGCCTTGCAAAAACTTTCAAAGAGTTAATTGAAAAGTTTTGATTTCCACCAGATTCTCTGCAAAAAGTGTTAAATTTGGCAGTTATATAAATTAATTTATTTTTGTAAACTTTACCTCAGTTTTATTTGAGAAAAATATTTTTTTAAAATTTATATTGATTTTCTTATTTACATTTAAGAAGCATCCAAAAATGTAAGTGCTTAGGGCCTCTGAAGTTCTTAATCTGGCCCTGCTGTCAATCAATTTTTTTGTCCAGTTTAAATTTTCTGTCAATCAAAATTTCTGTCAATTTCTCCATTTTAGTTTTAATTTTCAAAACAAAACTTTTAAGTTAATTTTTTTGAAGTTAAATTTTTTAGACGTTTTGAAAATTTTTATGTCTTAGAATTTTCCAAACATAGCAAATACTTTAAAATGAGCAAAAAATATTAATTGCAAATTAAATATCTATTTTTAAAATTGTATAGAAATCTTAGCTACAGTTATAAATAAGTAAAAACAGTATGTGCTATTTGCGCTGAACTTTAAAAATGTATCTTTATTTTCCTGTTGCTACGCGCTTACTCGAATTCTGTTTGCTAACTGGATCTCTTAAAAAATAAAGATGAGCAACTCTGTTACTGATTTAAAGTTAGTGGTTAAAGTTAATAAAGCTATAACAATAAACTTTAGCGAAAGAGGAATAATATTTTTTTTAAAAAAAATAATGGAAAATAAAAAGTCTGTCTGATAAACGGAAGAAAAAACTATTGAATTAATTTAATATGCATAGACGTAGTGAAGAATAAAAAAATTTTTTTATCAAAAATAAAAAGACATAAATTGTCTCAAAAGGTATTATTCATCTCTTTCACAATTATTTTATTCAGTCTGCGCATGCTCATAACCTCTAACCTCACTTTACCTGAATAATTTTCGGCATTTTTATCTGAACTTTTATAAAGTTCGAACATGGCTGCTACTGTTGTTGTCATTACAGAGAAAAGTAATATCGATGCTCCCAATCAACACATTTCATTAATCGGACATATAATTATTATTGTTCTAATCATATTCCTTCTCTTGTAAGTACTGATTTTTTTATTATTTTCCTAATTAGATCTTTTACTGAGACTAGTCCTATGCTCGATCTAGATTCGTATTCGTAAGTTCGTATACTGTGTAGTACAATTGTTAAATGTTATTTTGATGCTAAATCAGTTTAGTTATTGTATTATGCATTATAAAAGATATATTCATCAGGACGTGTGGAGCAATTAGTTAGAGAATATATTCTCTATACAGGGGTATATTTTTGGGTAACGCCCTATGTGGCAGTTACACGCTAAATAATTTCTAAATGCATCATAGATTTTGGAATATAGATTTAATAGAGTGATAATATGTTGCATCTATGTTGCCTTAATAGACACATCTAATTTTTTCTGAACCTTTAATATTCATTTTATAATTTATTTGCTGGTACTTTACCTTTTACGAATGAGTGCATTTTTAATAACTGTTACGTTTCGTAAAGTTTCGTTAAATTTGATTCATTCTGTTTGCGGATCAGGAAAATGTCGCCAAATGTCATTAAAAAGAAGCATGCTTTACGAAAATGTAAAGCTTTTGCGATCCAATTTTTCAATATTTGAAATGTGATACCAACATTGCATTAAATGACCCATAATTTTAAAAAAATTGACAATTATTTTAATTTTTTAAAAACAAAAAAATAACGTTTTTGTTGTTGTTTCTAATGACACATGGGCTAGCCAAGCTTGCCTGCCATTGGTCTTTTGCGAGTTCTGTCAAGAAGGAGCGCCTTTCGTTTGACCAGTGAGCACCACAAGGGTGAAAGTACGTCTTCGCTCAGACGCACAGAGTATAGATGGCAGCACCAATCATTCGTGCAGCCACATCTTTAATATAGACATAGATCCGAAGGGGAAGGAAATTTTCTGGAGAGATCCCTATACCAATGGTACGGCTCAGCGATCGACCACAGGAATTTCGATTTCCACAGATCTTAAGATTTCCACGTATTTACTCGGTGAGTCTTAGCGCAGTTGAGGATCGGTTCGGAAAGCAGGGGTTCGATTTTCCATCCACTGGGCTACTACCTCATCCCTCTCCCCAAAAAATGAATCATTTTTCAAACGATTTAAATATTTCCTCATTTTATAGTCTAGTCAATATTTTTTTTATTTAGTAAGATAGTGCATATAGTATTAAATATAAGTTTGTTACCAGTTTAATTTGCTTAAATTAAGTAGCTTTTTTTAAAAAATTTTATTTCTTAATTTTTTTTTCTTTTTAATGGGCGAGCTTTGAAAAAACTCGTTCAAGAAATATTGCTCTTCCATATTTAGTGAGAAATTTTTGTTTGACTGAGCTTGCGCATTCACCACTTTTATTTCTAATGCATTTTTGAAAATCAAAATTTTTAAGGTTGCAGTATTTCAATCAATATTTACTTTACATATACAATGGTTTGATTTCATGTTTGTTTAAATCAGTGTTTCCCAAATTTATGACTTTTGTGTACCCTTTCTAAATTTTTCGTAACGCTGAGCACCCCTAATAAAAAAATGAATGAATTTTTTACTATAAAAAATCGCACAAAAAGTAAAAATCACAACTGGCTGTTGACACCACAAATTATTAACTGTTAACTCTGCAAAAAATATCTAATAGAAAAATACGTAATCGTAAATTTTCATGGCTAGCTTTGTTTTTAAATAAAATTTTTTGTAATTTTCGTTTGTTGCAAGATATTTCGCATAAGAACGCGTACCCCTGCTAAACTGTTCCCGTACCCCTGGGGGTATGCGTACCACACTTTGGGAAACACTGGTTTAAATAATGTAAAAGATATGTATAATATAGAATCGCTAACTCATTTTGTTGAAGTAACTATTTTACAAACCGGAGCTATATAGTTAGTAGTTGAAATGTTTGACTCCGACTCCCGTATTGTATTTTACACCGAATCCTACGGAAATTACTAATATAATCATTAAAAAATAAATAAATAAACTCATAAATTTCGAATTATTTATTTATTTATTTTATGTTATATTAGAGGTAAAGATCTTTTTTTCTTAAATTACTTTTTGTGCTATAACAAAAGAATTGGCGAAAATAAGTTTTGAAAAAAAAATTGAACAAAATAATAAAATTGTGCTAAACCATTATAAGAAAAGAGCTGGATATTACATACTTGCACATAAATTAACATCTGAGAGTTCAACTCCGACTCCAAATTAAAATATATTTATATTTATTTTAATTTGATATTTATATATATTTATTAATATTTTCAGCGAAACCTAGGGAATAGTAAATAAAATTACTTAAAAAAATTATAAAATTCAAATTAGTTACTTCTTTTTTATGCACTATTAGAGTTAGTTTGTACAGTCCAGTTTTTTAAAATTTATTTAGTCATTTATTAGAATTTTATTTAATTTCATTTATGCAGTTATTTATTTCAGCGGCTAACGTACAGGATAGGCGAGTGGTAGGGCTTCAAAGATTTGCTATTTTTATTATACAAAATAAATTCAATTCCTGATAATTTAATTCAAATGACGAGGGTTATCAAATTTGCAGGTTCATTATTGTTATTAATATTATTGTTAATTTTATTAATTAGAACAATGATATTTCCAGCGTTGGCTTGCATTTAGGAAGGCATTTCGCCAAGTACATAAGAAGAAAATTCTCCCGCCGCCAAGAGCCCAATTTGCTTGATGATATAGAGGAACAAGATGTTGATGTTGAGAGAGAAATTTCCAGACCAATTTCCTCTGCATCTGAGGATACAACTACTGAAAAAGGAGTTGCTACAACTGCGCGTAGAATGCTTCGGGCCTTACCAAGAGCAATTTCAAAAGCTGCCCTTGTTGTCTCCAAATCTACTCGTAGAAGGGCTCCTAAGAATTCAGAAAACCAAGTTAATATTTCCACTATTTTTAAGCCTAGACCAAGTTCTTCGTGCGATCGAGATGTTTTTGATATGACCAGATTCAGCTCCTTCAATTTATATGAGGACCCCCAACCCAGCACTTCTGCTACCACTGATTTTGAAGTATTGGGTGCTACCTGCAGTAATTACTATGATGAAAACTGGGAGTCTTTTTTTTCTCAAGATGGTTCTTCTGTCAGAGAAACTGCTTCCAAAAATGAAACCTTTAATCTTGATTCTGATTTGCCAAGATTTATGAATCCTCCCTCAAGGAGTGCTAGAAACAAACAAGTTCAAGGAGTTAACGAAAGAGATTTTACAACCTGCGATAATTACTATGGTAAAAACTGGGAGTCTTTTTCTTCTCAAGATTGTTCTTCTGCCTGGAAAGCAGCTTCCGAAAAAGAAACCTTTAATCCTATTTCTGATTTGCCAAACTTGACTAATCCTTCCTCAAGTGATGCAGGAAATAAAGGAGTTCAAGGACTTAGTGAAAGAGATTCTCTTCGACTCCAGCCCTGGGGTGATAAGTTAAACACCTTTGAAACAAAATTATCTGCTTCTCAAGGATCTGCTTCTAAAGATCACTATGATGATTATTACAAACATCAATCTAAGAAAGATACATACAACAATCTTGAAATCTGGCCTTCAAATTCCAGCGTAAAAGAAGAGATGGCTGAGGGGGCTACCTTTTCTCAAAAGAAAGTTAAATTCATTCAGGATCATGCTGAGTATTTCAATAACTCGAACATACTTCAAGCCGCAGACGAAAATAAAATCATCCAGTCGATGGTAGATGAAAGATTCAATACCCATACCGAATATGACGGCAATTACCACAAAAGTAATGCAGATAAAAAAGAAGCTTCTGGAAACAACTTTACTACCAAAGATGGAAAGAAAATTGTGAGAATTTTAAAACCAGTTTCAGGAAAACCCTGTCGACCCATTCATGAAGTATTAAAGCAAACTGAAGGTCCTGAACAATATTTGTTTCGTGATAAGGAAAATACCGCTGATGATTTGAATAACTCATCTGAAGAAAACGGGGATCAATCTCCTGGAATAGTCAGCATTGAATTATTTGATTGGAATACAGCTGATGATAGTAACTTGATCAAGAAGAGGAATAATGAACCTGGAACAAGCAAACAAGCAACAGTAATAAGAAGAAGTTATGGGCAACGGGACAGAAATGAACGAAAGAAACCATTTGAGCAGCTAAAGAAATTTTTTCAATGGAAAAAGGCTAAAAAGTTTGAAGATACTAGTACTGGTAAAAATTGGAAATTTTTAAGAGCTTTAAGGGAAACTCCTTACGAAGGCCATAATAAAAGTATTCCACTTCCTGTTTTCTCTCCTGAGTCCAATGGTTCTTGCTCCCAAGGAGCAGAATGTTCTTTTAGGCGTTCAAAGGCAATTACATTTATAAAAAAATTGACGAAATCTCCAAAGAATGAAACTGACGAGGAATCGCTTTCCCAAGATGTGAAAAACGAATTCAATGCTGAGGCTTTGGTTCTCGAAGAAATGAAGGAATTTCCAGAGAAGGAAACTGCTGATGAATCATTTTCCCTAGCTGTGAAAAATGAATCTAAAAATGAGGCATTGATTTTCGAACCAGAGGCTTGGTCTAGCTTTGAAAACTTGTATGATGAAGGTTAGTATTACGTTATGATAGATTTTTAAAGCTAAAATATCAATAATGTGTTTCTAATGTTAGTATTTTTCTATCATTAAGAAATTTTAAGTGACGATGAATATGGAAATGAAAGTGACAATTTGGAGGAAGACAATGATTCTATAATTGCCTGTTACGACAGCAGTGAATTTGAATTTAGCGATGAAGATAAGGAAAATCCTGACTCAAATGGTAAGAATTTAAGTATGCTAAAAATTGTATAAACGTTTCTTTTATAATAATGTCTAGGACATTATTGAATTCTAAAGCAATTTTGAATGTTGTTTGCGACAATAGTGTAGAACTTAATCAAAATGCTTTTAAGTTAGGGTCAATTTTAGTCAAATGCACTCTTTCAGTATCTTTACAAGAATGTTGGGCAAATATACAAGGACATTTGAAAGCAATTTTAAATGTTCTTTGTAACTTTAGTGTGAAAATTAATCAAAACGCTTTTATGTTAGGGTCCATTTTATTAAAATGCACTCTTTTATTATCTTTACAAGAATGTTGGGCAATTGTACAAGAACATTTGAAAGCAATTTTAAAATTTATTTGTAATTTTAGTGTGAAAATTAATCAAAACGCTTTTATGTTAGGGTCACTTTTTTCTAAATGCACTATTTTATTATCTTTACAAGATTGTTGGGCAATTATACAAGGATATTTGAAAGCAATTTTAAATGTTCCTTGTAACTTTAGAGTGAAAATTAATCAGAACGCTTTTATGTTAGGGTCAATTTTATTTAAATGCACTTTTTTATTATCTTTACAAGAATGTTGGGCAATTTATACAAGGATATTTGAAAGCAATTTCACATGTTCTTTGTAATTTTAGTGTGAAAATTAATCAAAACACTTTTATGTAAGGGTCAATTTTATTTAAATGCACTATTTTATTACCGATTCAAGGGCTTTTTCGAAAATACGTATTGAGAAGCTAGGAGTTTATATAAGGCTCTCAGACTTTTGATCCACATATTTTTTTCAAAGTTAACCATGTTTTTAAGATTTTTAAAATTTCAAGTCCAGTGAATTTTTCAGTTTCAGTGAATTTTTCTGAAGTAAAAATATTATTCCCTCCAGTTTTTCTTTCTTATGTTGGTTTAAACTCCTATCTTTTTTTTTCTCCTACTTTAAGAAACAAATTAATTATAATTAGTTATACAAATATCAGGTTTAAAAAATTAAATATGAATAAAGTTTTTAAAAAAATTAAAAATATTGTTAAAATCTGACCAACATTATATATAAATTTTTAATTAATTAAGTCTTGCTTATTGATTAAGTCTTGTTAATTATTTGATGTGTTTCTTAGATGCTGAAGAAATTCGAAAAATTTCCTCTCACAATTAATTAACAATGTAATTGCAATTTCATTAACGCGATGAAAAACATCTCTCAGAAAGTACAAACGTTGTTAGCAGTCAAAAACTAAGAGGGTTACAGAAATTAATTAATAGCAATAATAATAATAATAAAATAATTAAACAAAATGTGTTTGCAACTAGAAATTAACTGTGTATCATAAAAGAAATTTAATCTCAAAGTGTAAAAGGTTTCCACAAAATGAAAAAAAAATGCAATTTGAAAAATTCAAAGTGCATTTTCTTATGAATAAGTAGAAAAGAATGATAACTGATGAAAATTAGAAAAAATATATGAAGAGAAATAGATAGCAATAGATAATAAGATAATTCAAAGATAATAAAACAACTTTGTTAGTCTATCATTGGATAATTCTTCATTTTAAAGGAAGTACAAATCATTTACTTTATAGAGAACTGGTGTGGCGGAAAAGCAAGGTCAAATTAATTGTTTGCTCTGCAAGCATGCGCTTACCTGTTGAACACGCCTTCTAAGCCAGGCGTGGTTTACAAATGCATCCAACCAGGTGTTTGCAAGTCTTTGTGTTTTTTAAATTTCATTCATTTTAAGTTCAATAAAAGAAATAGTAGGGGAGAGTGGGGTCAATTGTAACATTTTTTACTTAACTATTTTTAACTAACAAAAAATCCAATATATTATTATTATTAATTGACAGATGAGTAAAGTAGACTATCCTCTAATAGAAAAAAAAATAAATACCTTATTTTAAATGTTATTATATTAGTTATTAACAATTTTTGACAGTCGTGCACTTGTTACAATTGTCCCCACTTACGGGGTCAATTGTAACAGTTCATATATTCAACTAAAACATAGTTGATTATACATATTATCATAGTTGTGATATATTTTTTTATTGATCAAAATAGTAGTGATATTTTAGGAGTAAAAATAATAATGAGCAGAGACCTAAAGGGTTAAACTTTTAACTTTCAGGGGTTAAAAATTTTAATTTATGCTGTGAAAGGTAACAAATAAAATAATGCACATGCAACGTAATATAAATGATGTAGGAAACTATTGGTGGTTCTTAAAGACTTAAGTAATGGTTTGTAAACATCAGATTATTTATTTTCAGCTGTTACAATCGTCCCTTTACTTATTGTTACAATTGTCCCCAAGATGCCATTTCAGCTTCATTTGTTAAAAACAATGCTAGTTAATTAGCAAAACTAATCTTTTTTTTATTGAAATGTTAATTAAGGTGTCCACTTACATATTCGTTTACTAATTTTTATTTGTTTAAACAAAATTACTTTGTTACAATATAATATTCTAATACCAAAAAAAGTACTTGCGTGGCGTGAAAATATCTTTTGTGATCTAACTCTTTCAAAAGTACATAAAAATGATTGCCATCAGGGGTGTACATGTAGATTTATTAAATACACGTTGTGCGCCGCCTAGGAACCAAATCTAGAACCCGACACTCGAAATTTTTGCTCTGTTACAATCGTACCCTGTTACAATTGACCCCACTCTCCCCTACTCAAGAGTACATTTCAAATATGATATTTAAATAAACATATAAACGTATAGTAATGTTGCGGAAAATGAAAGGAAAGAACTTTATATAATGAAACAGAATGATTTAAGAACATAGAAGAACATTTTAAATTGTTCGGATATTTGATTGTTATTTATTTATTCATTCATTCATTTATTTATTTATTTTGAAAAACAAAATTTTTCTCGAATGTTTTGTGCTTTTTATAAGTCAATAAGTATATTAAAAATCCTATGAGTTATTTAAAGAGAACTCATAGGTTCATTAAAAAAAAAGTACCGATTTGTTTATTTCAAATATGTTATTGAAATAAGCAAATAAATGTATAGTACTGTAGGGAAAAAAAGGAAGAACTGTAAATAATATTAATATTATTTACTGTTTTTTCAAGAAAATATAAGATAATGTAATGTAATCTTACTACATGTAAGATAATTCACAAAATTTCAAAGTGAATATCTTTGTTTTTAAAACAGTTTTGCAAAAATGAACCCAAATGTTCTGTTAGGTGTAGCAAATTACCTACTGATATTTCGTCTCATTCCCTGCACAAGGATATTTTAGGGATGCCAAAGTCTTCGAGGTTTAACAGAAACCTAACATGGTGTTTTTGAGAAGGGAAATAAAAAAAGCCACAGTTTAAATGTCTTACCCTTGAGGTAAAGCTATAATTTTAAACTATATGTATATCATCTTGATGTGAAGAACTATCTGGGTTTTAGAACTGATATAAAAAAATATTTTAAAAGTTATAAATTTTTTTCAAAAATCGCTTATTTAGTGACATTTTTAGCCCTGGAGAAAAATTCCTATAACTACTGATATTGCTAATTTTTATTTGTCCAGATAATGCGGTATTGGAATAAGTTTTAAAATATTAAAAGTTTAAACCACAAACGCTTATAATTTACACAAAACTGTAGCCTTTCTCCATATTGAGGTTTTGCACCATTTTCAGAATAAGCATAGAGAGAGCTGGCTACTGATAGACTAAACTTGACTTCTCATTCCTTAGTAACTGTTGAAAAGTTACAGCAGTTATGAAAATAGCATATTATTCGCAAACAAATATCATTTCATAAGAAGACGGAGCCTTCGATTAACAGTTTTAGTTGAACCAAATGGAAAAATGTATTAGATTTAAGTTTGTCAAATAAGGTGGCCATTCTTGCTCTGTTAAAAAGTCAGGACAATGCACCTTGTAGCATTTTTGTGTGTTTTAACAATGTATATGAAGCAGATCCCTATTAGAAAATCCATTTTCGTTTTCCAAAAAACTTTCTAGACTGAGGAAGCATAACATCTTTAAAATGCCGTGATAAAAATATTTGGTTTTAAACCTTTCCTGACTCATTTCATGTCACCTTATATGAGTTTTAATTTAGTTAAAAAATGTCTTTAAAATTCACAGGAATTCACAGAAGTCTTCAGGAATGAATAATAATAAAAAATAAAAAGAACTTAACTACGAGTTTTATTTTTAATGACATCTCATCTATCACGTTTTTGTTAATTTTTATTATTTCTATTTTATTGAACTCCATTGAAAATTTACACAGATCAACACGTTAAGCTGACCACTTCTGTAAGTTGATCATATGTCTAATTTGATCCTCTAAGCACCAAACTGGCAAAAACAATTACATTCCACCTTTATAAGATGACCACATATATAAGAAGACTATCAAATTTTTATTTTCTGCAAGTTTTATTTTATTTTATTAAACTCCTTTGGACATTTATGCATATTTACATGCTAAGTTGACCACTTCTGCTAGTTGATCAGATGTCTAAGTTGATCCTCCAAGTACCAAACTGGCTAATACAATTACATTCCACCTTTATAAGATGACCACATATCTAAGTAGACTATCAAATTTTTATTTTCAGCAAGTTTTATTTTATTTTATTAAACTCCTTTGGACATTTATGCAGATTAACATGTTAAGTTGACCAATTCTGTTAGTTGATCAGATGTCTAAGTTGATCCTCCTAGTACCAAACTGGCTAATACAATTACATTCCACCTTTATAAGATGACCACATATATAAGAAGACTATCAAATTTTTATTTTCCACAAGTGCATGGTCAACTTACACAGGTTTTACAGTACTCTTAAAATAATAATAGTTCATGTTTTATAATTCTTTTCATATTAATTAAATTAAATATGCATATTTTTTTTAGATTCTGAACGTAATGGAGAAAGCAGACGTATTTAAAAGACGGGAACTAGTCTCTGAAGAAAGAGCGACTATAATTATTAACACCTTACTTCACATTTTAATGAAATTTATTTACATTTGAATGAATTGTTCATTATTTTTTCTCTAAAGAATTATCATATCTTAATTTTAAAATTTATTTTTATTGAGTAGATATCTAAGCTTCAGATTTTAATGATGATAATTAGAATCATTCTTTTAAAAATTTTATCATAACTAACAATATATATATATCACATGTAAACTTTACCTTTAAACTGTTATCCCATAAAAATAAAATAAAATTTGATTATTTTGAATAAGACATTTTCATTAAGATTGCAAGGAATTTTCATGCGGAAATTAATTTGTTTCTCATGCTATATGTTTATAAATATTTGTTTATTATTTCTTTATTAATAATATAAATGTCTTGAAAATCAAGCTGTCAAATGTTGAAAATTTACAAATTACAATACAAAATGATAAAGTGACAATTATAAATTATACAAAATAATTGAAGTGATAATTATGCTTAAAAAAAAGGTACAAACCAATGAATAAAGAAAATATGTTCTAAAATATTATCATTTTTAATAAAGATTTCATAAAATTTCAATGTGAATTTTCGTAAAGTATTTTTTGAAGATGCTATAGCAAATAATTTAAATTTTATAAATGCTTCGTACATATTTTGATAAATATTTTTATTAATTTTTTATTTACCTCTAAAAAGTTTCATTATTTTTTATAAAAATTTTAAACAGTTTTTAACAAGAGTTCATAGAGTTTTAATAGGAATAAGTAAAAATATTTCCCTATTACGCTATTCCTATGGTAGAAAGTTGGGTATACATATCATATCACCCAACATGATGTTTAATATGTAACTAATAAGATAAACTTGATAAATGTTTTATGTTTCATATATATATTCTGAAAAATAGGGTTTAATACCAATGCATAAATAATTCAGTATTTTTATTAAAAATGTCATTGTGTTTTTTAATGAAACTCTTATAGTTTTTTACAAAAAGTTTTTTAAGTTGTTTGTTAAGATCTTATAGTTTTTAATGAAGATATTTACAATTGTGCAATCCCCAGCCAAATTATTCGACGCACTACAAGATTCTACGTAAAATGTTTAATTATCACGTGATGCTACACAGCACTTTCACTTGACTGAAACCGACTTGTACTAACTTATGTTCCTGTATCAATTAGTTAACATTGTAATTCGATGCGTTAAAAAAATAATATATTAATGCAAATAGGAAGTATTAAAAAAAATCTCCAAAATAAAAACTCGTTATATGTGTGTCGAAATCAGAAAGTATTGCAGATAAACTAGTGCAAAACAATGTAATTATTAAAACACTACAGTGCAGCGGATAATTTGGTTAAATTATTATAATTCACAAATATAATACAAGAGGTACAATAATTATTCTATAATTATATAATATAGCTTCTAATTAATCCTTTCCTCGAATTTATATTATCTATCGTCTAATTTAACTAATTGATACACGCACGTAAGCAAGAGCAAATCGGTTAATCGCGTAAGAACAAATGCTATCTAGTATCACCTGATAATTAAGATTTTACATATAGTGCGCCTAATCTTATAGTGCGCTTAATAATTTAGCCAGAGACTGTATTTTATAATGCCTTCAACCATCAATATAAATTGCATCAAATACATAGCATTTGAAAGATATTTAAATGAATTCAAGTTATTATGTATCAAAAATAAGGTCAAAAATTAATTTTAGGAGTATTACTAATTTGTAAAAATTGTCAGTTTCAGGGCAATGTGTTGTTGTTGAAATATTTAGATTTAAATATGTTGTTTTAAGAAATTTGATATTTTATTGTTATAGATTTTAAATTCTTTTAAGAAGGTTATGATAAGAAAAATATATGTTTTTTTGTGTAATAGAATTTTCAAATTTTATCTAGTCCATTCAAATTGTATGAGATTCGTACAGATTCCATTTTCAAATATTTATCTAAAAAAGTCGCGTTTTTTATTGAAACTTTGATAGATTTTTAAATAAGTCCTTAAAGTTGTTCGTTAAAATTTTATCGTTTTTTAATGAAGGTATTTACAATTATATTTTGTATTCTCTTTAATCCTAAGTGTAAATTATATCATTCCATTTAAATGATCTCAACTTATTGTGTATCAATAATAGGTTGTAAAATTATTTCTGTGAGTAATAATATTTTGTAAAAATTGTCAGTTACTGTTTTTGCTGAAATGTTTATATTTAAATTTGCTGTTTTAAGAAATTTGTTATTTTATTGTTGAATTTTTTAAATTCCTTATATGTTATGGACTGAAAATCTTATCTATTCTAGTCTAATAGAAATTTCTAATATTACCAAGTCCATTCAAATTGTAAGAGATTCGTAATGTATATTAGCTTTTGATAAATTCTATTTTGTTAAATGTGCTTTTTGAACTATAAAAAACTATTAAATTAAATTTTCGGAAAATTTCTTTGAGAATTTATCCTGCATTTTATTTTGAAATATTGTTTTGAAACTTAAAAGACCTGTTAATGATTAATTATGACATTAGTGCTTACAAAGTAAGGTGGATGCAATTCATTTATTTTGCGAAAGATAGCTTATATATAACATATTTTTTCTTCTATATAAATGTTCCATGAAATGTTTACTTTTTTTCTGTAGATTTAATGTTTAGCTTTTGATGTTTATTTCAGTTTTCCATTTGTATATGGAACAATCAATCAAACGATACTTTCTCCAAAATTTGATAATAAATGAATTATTAAATTTTTTTTACCAAAATGTTTTTTAAAATTAAATGCTTGCTAGAACCATAAAACAAAACTATTAAAGAACTATAAAGTAGTTTTTATAATGCTATTATTTTAATTTATTAAAAATAAAATTATGCAGTAAAAAAATAAAATTTCAAGAAACATTCTGTCAGTTTTTATTGCTTAATTCAGGTTTTGGAGATTTTTTCATTAATCTAAGATTAAGACAAATTTTTGTAATGCTTAATACTTAATCAATACCATATATATCGTTTCGTAGATAATTGTATATAATATATATATATATATATATATACAGTCAAACCTCG